CGACACCTCTCTCAAAAGACACCCTCAGAAGACACCCCAGGCCCGCGCGAAGAGGCCTGCTGCTCTTCAGGCCTTGGGAGAGGGGAGGGCGGCGCCTGCTCTTGGGTAGCTTGGAGTGTCGTGGGGGGGGGGGGCTGTTCAGGGCAAACTGGGTCTAGGGCATATTTCCCATTTCCTTACCACCTCTCTATTATCCCTTTTTTCCTCTTTCCTTCTCTGTGCAAGGAAGGTCTGCTGGGAGACATTCTTTGGTTCCCTCAGCTCACAGGAAGGGGGCATTGTTAGAAGGGTTGGTGGGAGAGACAAACTTCAAGGGTTGTTAGGCCCATTCCTCAGCCCTCAGTTGGAATTGCGAAGTGGGGGAGAGGGAAGCTTGTGTGGGACAGAAAGAGTGATGGTTTCCCTGAGTGGCCTAAGTTTTCAGATTTCTCTTCGGCATTGAAAATGGCTTGCAACTAATTCATGTTTTGATCCATTATAATTAGACTGTGAAGTGGGGTGGGGGCTCATGCCCAACAAATAGGGAGTTTTAAGGTAGCTGAAACACACACTGATTCCTCCTCACTCTTTCCCCCTCCCCCCCCATGTAGGTTCGGGCAGAAAAACCACTTTTTTCTTCAAACCCAGAATTGGATAATTTGGTAAGGTTCTTCCTGTCTTCTTTGATTTTGACCTCTTTTGCTCTGGGAGACTCCACTTGCTTACCCTCAGCTAAAATAAAATATTTAGTAGGAAGAGGGACTGGAGACACATTTATAGAAGTGCCAGGAACCTGGGAGAAAAAGAAATTATCCTTACCCAGGGACTTCAAGGAACTCAAATTCTTAACACAGAAAGAGGACAACAGATACTTGAGCTCCTAATGTGTTGCAAAGCTGGGTTAAAGCCCTGGGAAGCAAAAGAGAAGGAAATCATGGCTTCAGAAAAGAGTTTGAAGCTGCCGAGTGTGATTCTTTTGCTAATTTGTCCAATTTTAATATTAAAAGTACTGGAAATCCATTTAAAAAGAGGTGAATACAGACCATTCATCTGAAGCCATTTCACCTTGTTTTCTTTCTTTCTTTTTTTAAAGCGGATGGAGTGGTGAGTGGATGTTTAGCACTTGGTTGCTTTGCAGACTTTAAGAAACCACAGGGGATGACATCTCGGCAAACCACTTATCGCTGTTTCTCTTCAAGTGTGTGTGTGTGTTTATGTGTGATTGGATTTTTTTTTAAAAAAAATCAAGTGCTTTAGGTTAAAGTTGATCAAAATTGCCCAAGTGTGTCCAAAGAGCTAAAATCCTGGATAATGACAGCGCGCCCTGACAATCCCCCACGCCCTGACTTGCCTCTTCCCTCTCTTATATGACAATTCCTTTGCTCCCTGTTTTCTTTCAGATGATACAAGCAATACAAGTCTTAAGGTTTCACCTTTTGGAATTAGAAAAGGTAAGAGCAAGGGGCACTCCCTCTTTTCCTTTTCCTTTTTCTCCTCCTGGCCTCCAACAACCCTTGGGGAAACTCAGAAGGACACTGTAACTGGTACAAAGCACCGCCTGACACTAAACCAATAGTGCATAGCTCTTTTTCTTTTTTCTAAACTTCTCTCCCCGTTTTTTTCTGGAACTTCTCCATTATTTCCTACCTTCTTTTCAAGTATCAGCTGTATCCTTTCCTTTTCTGTCTTTTTACCATATTGTAGATTGTTTGATCCAGAGATAGTATTTTAAGAAACTTATCATTCAGAATAATTATAGACCCATTATTCTCAGCACCTTATGCAGCACATGAAAAGGCTAAATGCTACAAGAAAATTATTTTATACTAAAGATCTCTCCTTGCTCCTAGAGAGATTTCAGAATACGTACACTGTTCTCCCCCAGTCCTTTCCTTCACTCTTCTTGGTTGAACTGCCTATGTTTCTAGATTTTATTTATCCAGATCTCAGTGCTTCTGATAATATCCTCAAATCGGATTTCTTCTATCTATAGAATAGGCTAACGCTTAGTAGCTGTGCATCCCCCCCCCCCCAACACACACTTGTTGCTCAGGCAAGTCTCTGGGGAATAATATGTGCTGTAACAATTTCTCTATTGTTTCCTTGCTTCAACTATATGCCTCTTAATTAGAGTTACTCTTAGAATAGATCGCAGTGCTTCTTTTGCAATGGGGGGGGGAGGTCAAGTTGCAGTCTAATAGTTTTGCTTTCCCCCTCTTTTAAAAATACATCTTTTTTCTCTTCCTTTATTTAAATGTTATATTCAGGTTCATGAGTTGTGTGATAATTTCTGCCATCGGTACATTAGCTGTTTGAAAGGAAAAATGCCCATAGATCTAGTTATTGATGAAAGAGATGGGAGCTCCAAATCTGACCATGAAGAACTCTCAGGATCATCCACAAATTTAGCTGACCATGTAAGTCTTTTGAATAATTTGTGATGGCTCTTACCCATTTAGTAAACTCCTGGACTGTTATTAATTAAGGATTTTCTTACCATCACCCTTGTATTGTAATTGTTTACTTTGAATTCACCTCTGTTACCAGTTACAGAGCTATTTTTTAAATCTGAGTTTCTGATGGAAGAATATTCCTTTGTATTTTATTACTGAGAAGTTTAAAGTATTCCTTGTAAAGTTTACAACATTGACAAATTGAAGAGTTGACAAACTGTCCAGTAAAAATGGGCAATATTTTCTGCTTTATGAACCATGCCATTAATGTCAGAACAAAGAAAAAGAGAAAATTGAAATTATTCAGTTATTTAAAAATGGGATTTCCTCCACACTTTGTCTAGGCAGAATTATTAGCAGTTGTACACTACACTGAAGCAAAGTTATAAATATCAACACTTTTTTCTCTGTGGCAACTTATTGTTAGAATTTGTACACATTGACAAGTGGCTGAAGCTTCTTCATAATAAATTTCAATAATCTTGATATGCCAATTATTAACAATACTTTTTAGAAACTGCAGATAATTTTGACTGAGTAACTGTACATTAGCTGTTTAGTAAAGTTTATTAAAGTACTTTAGTTTAGTACTAAACTTTACTACTACTAAAGTAAACAGCTAAAGTAAAGTAGCTCAATTAGTTCTTTTTGTTGAATATTCACAAATACGTCTGGGAATGGCATTTTACATGAGCGGTTATGCTGTATAGAAGAGCTTATGAAAACTTTTTATGTACATTAATAAATCACTTAATTTAGAAGAAAACATACAGTGTACAAAAAGGACACATAGTTAGGGTACAAGTGTGAATAATAGCTTATTGCTAAAAGTGTAGAGAAGAATTTACATAGGCATTGTAAATGAGTTCATAAAACAAGTGGTATAAACTAAGAATAGCATAGCAGGAATATTATTGTAACATGTGACAGAGGGATTCCTGTGCTATGTATAAGAATCTATAAGTCTTTAGTCTGCTATGAAAAGTAGATACAAAAGTGAAGAATATTTTCTATTTGTTTTCTTTTTTTAAAAAGTCAGAAGGTTAAATATTTGCTTTTATTAAATATTAATTCATTTTATTAAATATTAGTTATGGACCATTCTGTCTTAAAAATATAATTGTTTTTGCTTCTTTTGAAATCTTCAGGTCCAAATTTCATGGGATTTTATAATTATTGCTGTCAAAGCATGTAAGCAAGAAAATACTGAATGCTTCCTTAGTGTTCTGTTGTATCATTTGTAGTTAGTAAGGTCTATGGAGCAATATAATAGTTTCAAAAATATATGTTGTTTGTAATTTAAACCTTAAATTAGGGCATACATACGTTTATGGGATTGTTAGAATCTGAAATGACAGGCATCCTGAAAGAGCAGAATATGTATATACAAAACATTGCATGTCTTCCCAGAACAGTTTTAGTGTAAGTTTGTTTCAAGTGGAAGTGTAGAAATGGACCATGCTGATGTTTATATTAAAGGAGATTAGATAAACTATACTGTTTAGGGCTCCAGCAGATGGTAAATGCTCAAGCCAATTTGAAGTGCTCTGTTACAATATTCAAATTCAACCGCAGTGATAAGATGAAGTTTCAGGGGACTCACATTTTGTAATATAACCATCTTCATAGAAAATAATCTTTTCCTACCCTTCAAATGGTGAAACAGCAAACTTAGAGAAATGTGACAGTCTATCCTAAACCTGTTAGGGTTTACCACTTTGATGGCTATAATTATTTAAAGCCTATTTAAATAACAGACATTTGGGCCCTGGACATTTGGGCTCTACCATTCTTACTTTAGCTCCCTGATACTTTTTTTTTTGAAAGGAACTAATAATTTGTGCAACCAGAACACCAACTGGGAAATTAATAGTTATATCACACAGGTGCATTTGGGAATTGTGCCTTATTAGATATGTATGTTAACATCACCAACTAACATATACTCATAAGGATGCGTTTGATATACATACAGATAATAAGAATAATGTACACATACAGATACATACAAATTATTGTAAAGTATAATACTTTATTAATAATCAGTAATAATAATGCATTTTGCAATTTTAATGTGGAGATGAAAAATCTTGAATAAAGTTGTTTATTTGTAGATTTCTACCTGACACTTACAATGGATAAACATGAGGATTTCTCCAAATTGCTATTCAAGATTTATTTTTTGCTTGCTTTGATATGCATATTTAAATACAGCCTACGGCTAAGTCTCATTTGGTGAAGGGTGGTGCAGGTGTTATGATGAACCACTTAAGGACACAAGATGGCATGGTGTTTTCTCTGTGTTAACTCCTGGCCATTGTTTTGATCCTTCTTATAGCTGTATTTACTCTGAAATACTTAGAGTATTTCACCTGAATGGTGATTAATTGATAGCTTTAAAGATGTTTTAACTTGTCTAGGCCAGAGCTTCTCTTGTGCAAATGACAGTTTGTGAAAAATACTTGATATTCCAGTATTTCTATCTTCTGTTCTGTGTGCATGTGAATGTTCATGGTTATAGATATATAGCAGTATAGCAATTGTGGTAGCAGTTTATTGGGTCCTAATGTGGTTGTAAGTTATATATTATGGTACAGCTTGAAAAATACAGTTGACACTAAGGAAATATCAGAGAAGCTAATATTCACAATAATATCCCTATATTCAAATACTGTGTGTTCTCTTTGTAGGACTGCATTGCTGAAAAATATAATTTACAGTAATTTGTTATAAGGAAAGGCTTGATCTTGGCAAAAGTACTAGCTTTATGCAAAAAGCCAGAGTCTTTCTAATATTGGTAGCAATAAAATGCATATATTTAATGTTATTTACTGTTCTGTTAATTATTGTTAATTCTTTTATAATACAGTAAGAATAAGTTGCCCAGGAACTTTGTTAGTCAAAGACTGGGATACTGGTAGTTACTGAAAAATTGCTATATTTGATATATACTGTGGCAGAGTTAGTAAATATAACAGCCCACAATTACAGTTTGAATTTTGAATACTCTCATATATTTTTATTGTACTCAAGTATTAGTTGTAGATTTGTAGAAACATGCTGTAATTGAAACAACCCAGATAAAATACTACTGTAGCTATTGTTGACTTCTGCTTCTTAGGAATGCAATTTATCATTGTCACCTACATGTATGTATATGAACTCCAGATTCCCCAACCTTGACTTTGGTTAACCATCACTCATGTAGTTTTAAATATATTTTTTAGATTCTTTAAAAGTAGCTAACAATTAAAAACATTTATTAAATATAATCCTGTATTCATTCATTCATTCA